GCATTTTTGCGGAACAGGAAACATGGTTGTAGTAGTATAATCAAACTTTAAAAAATTTAAATTAAAACAGCCAAGTAGAAAATCTATTTCCCCTTGACATGCAATATATCTATATTACCTTAATTTTGACTTAAAGAACAAACCAAAACAGAGGGGGAAAAAAAACCAACAGCTGTGTAACAAAGATATTCACCACCCAGAAGAGTTAGGGAAGCTGTCAATAAACACGCCATTATAAATCTTAGTCAACTGTCACAATTTTTCATTATGAATCTCTATCAAAAACTAGTAGGATTAAATAGTGATGAAGTTTTCATCACTGTCTTCAAATTTGAACAGTCCTCAAACTGGAACAAATGAGTATTTAAACTGAGTCAACTTAAGTTGCGATTCTGAAAACCATATTGTGACCTTAAAAAATATAAATTTACCCACAACTTTACTGAATGGTTAAAAAAATACCTTGGCTCACCAATAAAGTGGGGTTTATAGGCATCGTACGTGGAACATTAGTCTAAAACAATGATCTGTAGCTTTGTATTTGTAATATCTCAGGACATTTCTAATTGTGTCTCCATTTTCACAAAATTATCGAGGGGGAAAAGCAAAATTCAAGAGAAATTTTGTTTGTCTAAACTGAAAAAATTTACCGTCTAGAACTCTGGGAGAATGTGAAGTTCTATCAAGTCAAAGAGTGATGAGAGAGGGACCTGGTTTATCATTACTTATCTATTTATTTCACTTTATTCTTCATATCTATCATTTGTAGTGGTATGCCCTCACGTCAAAATAGTTGTTGCCCAGCACATGAGTCTCCTAGGCCCACAGAGTCCAGAAATCATGCTCTTCACCTGCCTTGCTAAGCACCTCTCTAAGACAATGCCTTTGTGAAGGCTGCTATTCTGACAACCAGTTCTTAAATGCTGCAGCCCAGACTAAAGCGATCTTTTTCCTTCTTAAATGAACATCAAATTTGTTGGGAAAGCTGGAAGATGGTGATCTGATGGAGCTTAAACATTTCACCATAAGCTTATCGGGGTGTTTTATATGGCTTCGCTCAGATACACAGTGCATCTGCCTCTTAAATTCAGGTGAGGCACTCACATATAACCCTGAAGGTCAAGTCTACTGCTCTGTTAAGTTTGTTAATACCCTTTCTAGAACAATCAGGAAATAAAGACAATGCCTTATGTTTAATTTCAATCACAGAATTAATCAACTCCTATCAGGCATGAGTGTATGAGCCCAATGTCCATTGAAATATAAGGGACTTTGGGGGGAGGGAGAGGTCTCTATATTGGAGTTCTGCTCCTTAGAGTTAGTATTTAACCTTTGCCACAGTTGCCATTGGAGGGCAACAAGAAGAAATACCTTCTGAAGACATCCCAATTTTTATTTGCCTACCTATAAATTAGAGCTAATTAACTGTGGGCAAAGAAACGTTAAGATGCACCCAACCACAGAATAAAAGGCCCGGATTGAAATAAGACTTTTTAATTCAGGAACACAAAGGACCAGTGTTAGTCTGATTGGAAGAGTTAAAGGTGAACACAAGAAAATTTTGGTTTGGTTTGGTCAGTCAGTCAACAAACATTTATTAAGTTCTTACTATGTGGCAGGCACAGTGCTATGCACTGGCCACTAACAAGTTTTCCAAACTCATCACTTTTCCTTGCTCTCTGATGACCACTGTCTATGCCTGCATATGCATACTTCAATATATCAAGGACCTGTGATTCCACTGGTAGGAACACAGACTTTGAGCCCATCCATGCCTCTGTAAATCAGACAGGCCATAGCCATGAACTGCCGCGGTCCCTCAAAATAGCTGTAAGCTGGGGGCCAACTTTCTCTCCTCTCCAAAATGAACTAAGCTAGAATCTCAGAAAGCTCACCCACAGTTTGTTGCTGGGCCTGTATTCAAAGCCTTTCCATGTTAATAGTGCTCATGCTGCCAGTGCTAACATTCTATTGACATTGCCTTGAAGTGCTCATTGTGTGTGTGTGTGTGTATGTGTGTGTATGTGTGTGTATGTAGAGAGAGAGAGAGAGAGACAGACAGACATGTGCTAATGCCACTGCTGAAATACAACATGTAACATTATTGGGAAAGTAAGGGTAAGGTCAGCATGATACCCCTTCCAGGATGTGAAGAGATTTTATTAACAAATAAATAGTGTCTATGTGGACCTTTCAGCTTTGGTATTTGTATGGGGTTTGGAAATGTTGCCAGAAAGTGTGTTTTCCTAATATTTACCTGGGAAGAGAGGGAAGAGACATTCAATCCCCATAGGTTGACCTAAATATGTATAACTTTCCCTTATGGTAAGGTTCCTAATGGACCACCTGTGCATGGGGTATGCACACTTTGACACATCAAGGATCTGTGATTTCACTGCTGTGGGGATGCAACATGTAAGCCATCCATCATTATCATCATAATCATCGCCATCTTCATCAGTAGCATTTACACAATGCTATACGATTCGGAAAGCACTTTACAAATATCATCTCATTTTATCTTCAAAACAAACCTGGGATTTTGGTGTTATTTTCCATTGGTAGATACAAGCTGTATTTGCCCTCTGGATCTCATCTATCTCATCTGTAAAATGAGGTGATCAGACTAGACTACTGAGCCCCATAGTTCAGAGTACTAGTTTAAGTAATTCTCCCAGTTTAAGTAATCTATGGCAATCATTCTGTTATTTGCTATACGTGGGTTTTATGAGAAATTAGGAGACTACACTGTGCTTACCTCAGTTCTAAATTTCTGCAAAGGATCACAGGGCAAAGGGGAAGAGCACTTAGAAAGAGAGACTCATCTGGTTACCGCCAGTCGGCCTCGCTTGGATAACAATGATCTCACTCCAGTCCCAGAACCAAGACCAGGATGCTAAGGAGGCAGGCTGTGCACATGAACACGACTCGTCTTTGTGCTCTTTTTCACAGACTGCTGGCTGTAAGGGCAGCCACTACACCTTTTTTCTATGATGCTTGTAAACACACCCAGAGGCTAACAAACACCGGCACATCGAGCAAATATGAAATTCAGTAATGTCATGTCTCCACCATAGCAACGCCCATTGGCCCTATTACAAAGAGACGTCTGCCAAGGTTGCCACCACAGTGTAGAGTTGGAGCACAATGGCATTAAGGGCTGATGGAAATCTTGCTGCAATCCACTGACTAAAGTGAAGAGTGATGCTGGTCTCCAACCCAACCAGGAAGCTTAGCAGGAGCAAGGCTCCAGTGTCATTCCTTCCACACCAGTCAGTGTTTATTTGCCTGGCACCCTTCTTCTAAGTGCTTTTTTGGAAGCAACTGCTTTGCAAAATTAAATACATTTTCATCACATTTTCATAGAACCAGTCTCCTTGTTTTAAAAGCAGGGAGCTGAGACCCAGAGGTTATTTTTTTTTAAGTTAAACGAATGAGAAGGCAAATCATTATCATAAGAATTAGAGGTGACATTGGAAAGGGGGTAGCTGAAGGAGGTTAGTAGATCCTCCTTGAAGTGAATCTGTACAAGTCTAAATAATCACTTCCACCTGCAGAGCCAGGAGATGAAGCACATGGCCTCTTGAGCACCACAGCAGTCTAACTTGCCCAAGGTCAGTAGACCTGCAACAGAACCCACATTCCCAACTCCCAGGCCAATGCTCAGGCCTGAAGTTATATCACCTTCTGAACAATGTGCATGAGTAACTGGCTTTAGGCTCAGGCCAAGAAGCAAGGCTTTCATCACTACTATTTCAGTATCCAAAACCAAAACGCATCTTTTTGCTATCAAAATTCCTGAGCATAAACAGCTATTTGCATGAAACAACTGCCTTACAGTGTAGAAAGAAAGGCTGGGGCCTGTAGATAGGGTAACAACAGGCTTTTACACACCAAACCTAACCCCAGGACCATCAGCTTATTCTCCCCAATACACTCAGTAGACCTGATTCTAGCATATTGTTGTCCAAATTCATTAACAACTAAAAAACATCACTGCCTTGTTTTATGAATTACTCTCCTAATCATGAAGCTAATAGTTCCTGGGAATTTTCTCGGCACCCTTGTACTTAAGCAACTTTTGAGATCAATCCAATCCAATCCAATCAACTAAAATAACTCAAATGGGCACCATCTCCCCAAACTGATTTTCTGATTTCACAGGCCAATAGGATATAAGATATGATCCTCAGAAGTCAGGCTCACAAGGATGAAGGTAAAAAAGGAGAGAAACGGGCTGGGATAGGATTGAAGTAATCTGCTTCAGATTTCCCACCTTCGCTACCCCTCAGTCGTTTTAAAGGAGTTGGGCTTGCAATGGAACTGAACCAGGGGATGTGCATCATGCCCTCCTTGGATGCTCGCTCCCACTATAGAAGCAAATAGATAAACCTGTTCTCTCCTTTAAGGATGATGTCACCAGTTGTGGATAGCACCACTGAGATAGCAAAGTTAAAGCAGAAAAATGGGCGAAGAAACACACGGGCATACCCAAAGGAATATTTAAATGGAAAATTTCAGGAAGAAAAATTCATTACAACTAATGCCTAACTCCTCACCCTCCCCAACTAAAAGCATCAATAGAATCACAGAGTTCTGGAGTAGGGAGGGATCTAAATGGTCACAAAGTCTGATACTACTTAAAAATGAATTCCTTCTATAACATTCTGATCAAGGTATTATCTTTCTCAACAGGTGTAACACACACACATCCACGTACCCACAATTCGTACCCATGTATCTAAAACTCTTCCTGATGGAGACCTAAGAATATCCTTTCCAAAATATGTTAAGCTCAATAATGTTTTATAGATAGATTTTAAGTACATTTTTACTCACACATGTCATTCAAAGCATCCTAGCTTAAAGCTGAATTAGAATCCAGGATGCCAACTTCATACCCATAACAAATTCCTATTTTTATTAAGGTTCACAAATTTCCTACTATAATTAAGGTCTATATACAAAATGTTTCCTGTGTAATTAATCGGGAACCTGTC